ATGCACATAATCAAATACACCTTGCATGTTGAAATTTATGATCATCTATAGAACCAGTCAATTTACTGCAGATAATCTCTGATGTTACAACCTAAATTTCACTGAAGATGGTTTGTAGCAACTCAATGCATGCTGTGCAAAAATTCTCTAGATGTGGATTCTGGTTGGCAAGGGCAAGTAGGGACACTGGAATTGTAATGTGCATAGGACTTCCTTCACGGACTTTAAAATAGGAGGATGAATATTAAACCTGGCTAATCTATGTATGGGATGGGTTCTGAACTCTGTGAAGCCAGTCTTACGATTCCAGGCAATCCAGCCAGATCGTATACCCAGGTCTGGGATCTCCACTGTAGTTACTGTGAGTCCTGGACACACCCAGACCTGCTGATTGGACCGTGAGGGAGAATCAGCATGCAGACAAAAGTTGTCCCTATGCCCTCTCCTCCTGTTAGCATCTTAACTTCAAATGCTGGCCCTTCTTTTACCATTCTGAAGGATGATGAGCATAAGATAACAGAGGTTGTTTTGGGCATTTTACACTGATTGCATTTAAAATATATATATATTTTTTAATGATTACAAAAGTGAATCAATTAGTGGTGTTTCAGCTTTAAAGTAAACCTCACAGTATAGCCAAGAATCACATCAGAGATGCTTGCATGTACCCCCCTTTTTTTTTCTGTGTAAAGTACACGAGTCCCAGAGGCTGGGACTTCCAGCTTTCAAAGTAAGTGTTCTGGCAGATGTCCGATTTCAAAGCTGCAAGCCTCCATGTCTATACTGAGAGCCACTCGGCCTCTCTGGAAGATGAAGAGACCTGAGCAGAGGTGTCATTGTCTGGGGTTTGATATAGAGACAGGTATGCTTTAAATTTCAAATCACAAGAAAACACAATGTAAAATAAATAGTAGCATGCAACACTATTGCACGAGAAGACCATATGTCCTTAAATGGAAACTCTAAAACTCAGTAAATGTCTGTTTTTTTTCATATGCTGAAAAACTACCCTCCCTATGTACTATACTGGCACAAATGGATTACTACCAGGAGCAGAGATTAGTTACAGTTGTGCTGGCATGATTTGGACAGGATTTTATTCACTGGTAGAAAACTTGCCTGTAACTCTTCCAAAGCCCCTGGGTACATTAGTCATTTTCCATATCAGATATATACATTAAATCCTCTTGAAGGTACAAAAAAAAAAAAAAAACAAAAGGTTTTATTTACACTCAATAGATGTAGTACTTACCTACTATGCAATGCCCAAGCCTTTTTCAACCAGGGTGCCTTCTGGGTTCTTCAGGGGTGCCTTGGCAAAATTCTTAATAATTACCCCAAATAGCTCAAAAAGTACATACAAGCCAGTGGGTGGATCAAGCCTGCTTTTTTGTTACAGAAATTCCCAGGTTTCCACTGTGCATTACAACCTTGGGCACTTTGCGGGCCAGTCACCGGCGTCCTAACAACTGATGACATCAGTGGTTGGAGGACATCAGCTACCTGTACAGCGCCCTTGTTTGCCCTTTTCCTTCCCTTTCCTCTCCATTAGCATTGGGGGTCACTATAGCTTAGTGAGAGAAACTGAGGGAGAAAGCTGGAATAATCAGTACCAGTGTGAAAAGATGTATTGGCTTTTTAAGAATAAATCACCTCTAAAGTTAGGTGTTCATCATGCGTGGGTTGTGCTTCATTATCTAAAATTTTTATTTTTTACATTTTAGAGTGGGGTGTGCCCAGTGGCGGACTGACAAGTCATGGGGCCCACAGCAATAGGGTATCATGGGGCCCGTGTGACTTTGCCCACACTCAAAGCACTCCCAAAAAAGCCTGTAAAAAAGGTACCGGGGCATTTCATGGGGCCACCTACTGATCCCGGGTCCTCGGGCAGTGCCCAAGTGCTCGAATGGTCAGTCTGCCCCTGGGTGTGCCCCAAGATTGTGCAGACCTTTTAAGGGTGCCTTGACTGAAAAAAAGGTTGAAAAACCCTGTATTACCCAACAAAGTACATAATACTTAGTAGCAATCAGAGAAGACTTATTAAAGGGAACCTGTAGTGTGAGAAACATGTGGACTCCCATCACCAACCTCTCCCAAAGAAGCTAGTTTGATAGCCGAGCCATCATGCTGACCCAATGACTTCAATACTTTGAGCCTCTGACCAAGAACATTTGTTCAGACCTACCTTGAGCCCATCAATACAGACAGAACTAAAACTGAGTTTTCGTTTAATAGAGTGGGGAAGAGGCTAAAATCCCTGATTAATTTTTATTCCTGTCTGTGACCCCAATCAAGCATCTCTCTTGCTACATTTTCACTTCTCACTGGGACAGAAAGTGAGAGAAAAAAAAAAAAAAATCTTTCTAATAGAGCTTTGTGTATCAGTAAAAAAATCAACAGGGGTTCTAGTCCTTTCCCCCACTCTATCCAAAACAAAACAAAAAAATATTAGGAATGACATTTTAGGTCATTGATTTGTATGTGTAGTTTCTAAACAGAGGAAGAACTGCCCTGTAATTAGAGTAAAACAAAAACTTTACAATGGTAGGTTCTCTTGTTAAGAAAACTTGAATTTCTTCAGACATTCCCCCAAGACATAATCAATCAAGCAAATCAAATGTGACACCGATCCTTAACTGTACAGACGGGATAAGCGATATCCCCGAAACTAGATCCTGAATCTGAGGAGAGAGCATTGTGTAACAAGCATTGATGTTCCCCATTAAAGCTCCATTAATAAAGTTTCTCTTACTTACTCTTTCAAAGGAATTCTGCACTGAGAAAATTCTAGGGTCTGCTATTGCTTCTTCTAAAAATATACCAATTTTATGGTTATCATTAGCTTCTTCTAGCAAAAGTCATGTAGGTTAGAAAGGCAGCATTAAGTTGGTGCTTCTGATTTATGTGTTTGTTCTGGGTCTCCTCATGCACACTGAACGTTTTTACAGCTGCTGTTTTTAGTTTTTGGCGTTTTTTTTTTTTCTACAGCCATTAAACTCCCCAGCATGTTGTCCTATGTGTCCGTGCCCCTAGCCCCTAGCTAGTGTGTTTCTAGAGGAGTTTTTTGCTGTAAAAAATGCTCTAACGCTGGTAAACGCGTAAAAACATAGCACACCACGATAAAACATGGCAAACCGGTGTTTGTTTTTTTTAAGCAAAAATTTTATTTTTTTGTGTAAAAAAAATGCTAAAAAAACGCAAACGCATAAAAAAAAAGCAGCTACACGCTAATGCAAAAACGCTAAAAAAAAAATGCGGAAAAACTCGCATTTGTAACGTGAATCCATACAGCTAATGCTACCGGCGTTTTTTTAAACGCCCAGCGTACATGAGGTCTAACGGCAAGGCAACTAGTACTTTCAGAAGCAGAGGCTAGTAATGATCGCCTTCATAATCTCTGCAGGTTTCCCACTCCAGTGCCCCCAATAGCAAGCCGCTTGCTAGGAAACGCAGAGTGTCCATAAAACACACAGAGCCGTGGCTTGGCCCCACCCCCCCCGCTCTCTTCTCATTTGCTCACCGGCTGTGATTGACAGTTGTTGCTGTGTAGCAGCCAATGAGGAGACAGCAACCTGGGACAGCCGAGGCTCCCGTGAACATTGCTGGATTAAGATGGGGCTCAGGTAAGTATTGGGGGGCTGCACACAGAAGGGTTTTGTTTACTTTTATTCATAGAATGCATGAAGGTAAAAAAACCTCCAGCCTTTACAACCACATTAATAAGAATCAGTAGTCTGAAGTCTATTTTTCCTTTCACCTGTATACTGTCAATTTACGATGTATAACTACCATAGAATGAAGTAACTCACAGCAATGTTTGCTTGCTGCTTTTTTGTGTGACTGTTCACACTTGAGAGTAGTATATTTAGGTGATTTTACAGGCATTTTTTGTTTCTTGCAGTTCAGGTCACATACACTTTCATTTATGGAAGCATCTGTAAACCACACGTTACATGAGCTTGCACTCATTTTTTTTTCCGGTGCTCCAGTTGAAATCTATGGGATCAAGAACGTCCAGATCCACCTGAAAGAAGCTTCTGTACTTTTCAAGCAACAGGTGGTACCTGAGCACTCAGGTGTGAACAGGCACCATTCAAAACAATAGGATTTTGTACTGTTGAGAGTTTTTCACCATCAAGCTTTGTGCTCAGGTGTGAATGGGTCCTAAAAGCAACAAGAGCTACAACTTTGCTAATCACTTAGCTAGCGCAGTATATAATGCGGGCCAGTAATTTTCAAGCAGCTGAAACTGCAGATGTGATAAAGTTGCACAGCTTTTATCTCGTGAAACATCTTGTCATTTTTGGAACAAATAGCTCTCTAGGTAACTTTACTCTGTGCGGTGTGGCTTCCAGGTTTCAGCCTAATACTGCTGCATCCAGTTGACAAAAACTAAACATAAATCATGATTACAAGTCTACACAAAGCGCCAGTATCGAGGTTGCTGTGATTATCCAACACTGACAATATTTGCAGGTGTACAGGTGTCACAACAGGGGCTGTGCAGAACTGCTAGAACAAACCCTCCAAATGTACTCAAATGATCAGTTGCACGCTCCTGCAGAATTGGAGCTTGTTTACATTGAGTAACTCAGTAAAGTTACTTCATCTCTACTTAAAGTGATACTAAGGCTTCCTTCACACTTGTTGCATTGCGACGGGAATGCAGCAAATTGCACAAAAACATGCTGCTCTTTTACAGACACAGTGGGGCCATCCCCATGCATCTTGCTAACGTGCATACATCAAAATGCTATTGCAGTACCAGGGCGTTTTGGTGTGGAAAGATTTTTTTAAATGACGAAGGCACCTTTTTTGCACATCGAAGTTAACAGACTGCCCTAAACATCATGTGCATAAGTGATCAAAAAAAAAAAGTGTGTGCATTTGGTGGCACCTACATTGTGAGAACAGAGCCTAAACGATATCTTAATTTTTCAAAAACAATCCATGCACGTCCACTACAAAATAGCCCTGTAACAGGGGCGGACTGACAATTCATGGGGCCCCTGGGCAATAGGGGATCATGGGGCCCCTGTGTCCTTGCCCAAACTCAAAAAAGCCTATGAAAAAGGTACCAGGGGCATCTCATGGGGCCCCCCTACTGACCCCGGGCAGTGCCCGAGTTTCCAAATGGTCAGTCCGCCCCTGCCCTGTAATTAAGTAATCATGAAATAATTGATTTCCAGGTTTTTCTGCCGCCTTGTAACAGCCTCTGTGAGCCGATTGGAGCAGATATGGACAGAGCCCCGTCAGAAGTAAACAGACTCCTCTGTCCATTTTCACCACACTACCCTGTCATCCACTTACAAGGAAGAGGGTGAATCCACTTTTTTTTAGCAGACCAGATCGAACCCGGGAGGTCACAAGTCCATTTACAACCTCCTGTCCATATGGATGAATGGACCTTCAGATCAGGTCCGCCTGAAAACCTGACAAGTGGACCTCATCGGTACAGCCAAGTGAAAGGGGCCTAACACACAATGGTTACATGATCTGAGAAGTTTTCATTCATCCAGTCCATGGTGTACATAGTTAGCAGCCTGTCACAATCAGCTGGACTTGTCTGTAATACTTAATGTGGTATTAAAACCAAAAATGTAATATATGTAAAATGACCAGTCATTAGATGTGGTGGCTACATCTTTTTAGGCTTTTTCCTCACCGTTTTTACCTGGTGTTCTGGCCAGTAACATACCTCCTGCTCTGGATGAATGAGCACAGGGGGGGCACCTTTGGACAACAGCATTGTCAGCCTGAGGGGGGGGTGCTAGTGTTAGATGAGCTAGCAGATTTAAATACACTACTAAACTGAAGCCAAACTCCTGCTCACACTTTATAGGCAGTTATTGCAAACAGCTTTTTGTTTCCTTTTGGGATACAACTTTACATAAATGAATAAAAAGCACCCCTGTCAATTGTAAAATTGTTTGATTCAACCCTCTAACTGCTACATCTGCAGGACAGCTTGTTCTGTTGATAAACAGATTTACTGGCTGGATCACCAGGTGAAAATAATGGAAAGAACGCCTAAAAGCTAATGCAGCCGCCACATCTAAGAATTGGTAAGCTGCACTACAATAAAGGTTTGCTTTGGGTTTAATTCTGGTTTAAGCCATTACTGAACAAATACGCTATTTACATAAACCGGATCTATGTGCTTAAAGAAAGAAAAAATACACGGAACACTTTGGCCCTGAATTGTGTATGTGTGTAGAACCGCATACTTTTTTATTTCAATTGGATAAAGATTCTACAAGAAAAACATTGAAGATTTTTAAAAACATAAAGGACACGACACAATTACTATAAAGAAGTCGAAAAACTTTTCTGAAAGCCATTCATTGTCCTGAAGCAATTGTAAAGGTAGCAAACGCCTCAACTAAACAGCGTGCAATAACTGACATCAATCCCTCACAAGCTGTGCTCCTCTGCCAAGACGGACCTCACTCCTGTCAGAAGCCCAGCTTGCCCCATCACATTTCACAGTTCAGAATGAACCCATTTGGGCATATATGTAAAACTGGAAAAATGAATGTCGGATATAGAAAGCGTAGGACTGTGGGAAGAAGTTTGGAAGCTCCTCTGGGGCAGGAAGCTTGACATTTATTTTTGCTGTCACAAGATAAACATTTTCAACAATTATTATTATTAATAATAATAATAATAATAATAATAATAATAATAATATATAGATATTAAATAGCCAGCAAGGTTTCAAATGACAATGGAGATACAAACTAGGCTGCCCCTATCTAAAAATATTTCCATTTTACAAAAACAAAGGTCACAGACAACCTGCTGCACATAGGACCCCCCCCCCCCCCAAAAAAAAAAAAGAAAAAAAGAAAGGACAGCCAGACTTCTTCCAAAATTCAAGAAGAGAACCATTTAAAACAAACAGGTCCCAGCACAAAGCACATATGAGGCATGCTGGGACTTGCAGTCATACAGAAGATGGAGAACTAGCCTAGCCCGTTTCCAGAAGGTCTCAGCAAAGTTCAGACATGCTGGCACTTGTGGTTCCCAACCTTCTACCTGGATTGTATAGTGCCAAGCTGTCCTAGCTCCCACACCTTTCCAGATGGCACTTACCTGTGTTGGAAGTGACCAGCAGCCCCAATAGGAGGAGTATTCTCTGCTCCATGAACCCAGGTGTGTGCAGGATACAAGGTATAATCCCAGCTGGATCAAATAATCCGTGTCAAACACCCTAGTCCCGGGCTCAGTACCATTCCTGGCACAATGAGAGCTCCTTGCTGAATGCAGGACTTGTCAGAGGCACATCGCAGACATCCTGCTGCTCTGGATGGGGAGTCATCAGAACAAGCTGATATACAGCTGGTGGAGAACAGGCGCCTCCCACAGGACGCCAGCATCACTACCACTCTGCTGTCCTGCCTAGGTATCAAGCAATGAATCAACCATACGTTGATTATTTTAGGACAGCTATAGACTATGCCACAAAAAAAAAAAAAAAAAAAAAAAAAAAAAAAAAAAAAAGGGAAGCACTTGTACCTTTTCAGTGCTTGGATTTTGGCTCTAATGCAGGCCATAGATGGGGAGAAAAACGGCAGATTTTCGGCCGATTAACGAACTATCGGTCGGTCTAAAAAACTTACCTGACCACCAATTATTACGAAAATCGGCCGATTAATGAGTAACCTATAACGGGAAATGATGTCATTTTGTGGCCTTTGTGATCCTTTTTCGGAAAACGATAGTTCGTTTTTGACCATCAATGAGGATAAAGTCGGGCGTTTTTTCGAAAATTTTCCAACATCACCGATAATCTGAAAGTCCAAAATACACGAAAAACGGCCGACAAAATCGTCCACTAACGATAAGATAATCGGCCGGTTTTATTTTCGGACGAAAAATCTGCCGTTTTTCTCCCCATCTATGGCCTGCATTACTCCCACCAGGGCCCACTGACACCTATATGTACATTACATTTGCATCTCTCTGTGCTGGGGCATGCTGCGTCAAGGTGCGCCATTCATACCGAATGGACTGGAAATACACCTCAGCAACAAAATAAAAATAAAAACACATCTGCGTTGTCTTTGCATGTTGATGGTGTGCGGCTTTTGTATTCTAAACCTGAGCAATCCTTGCCCAGAGTTCTAAGCCTCATCATCAAATTTGGGGAAATCTCCAGGTACTCTACAAATGGACAAATCAGCAGCGCTTTTCTATACCCAAAAATACAAACCTTCCAGGAGGCACACCTTTCCATTTCAGAGCACCAGACCCTGGTCCTGGAAAATTAATATGGTCCCTAAAGTGGGAATGTGCCCAGACTGCAAGGGTTAATGACTCGTTTTACCTAGAGGATTGGAGAAACAGCTTTAAAGGACCTTACACACGATAAAGAAAATAATATGAAAATTTCCGTACGAGGAATGATCTGTTGGTAATCTGTTCAACAGCATAGTGCTTTTGATGGCTGATTCTGACTGTTTGGACGACCAAAACCGAGGTGCAAGATAAAAATTTTTTTATTGTGCATGAACACGGCAGCCAATTTTTACTCAGTGTGTACAGTAATTGTATGGAAATAATCGAATAGAAAAAATGCGCATGATCAGGAGCAAAGAACAACCCTACATTACTTCCTCTTCTGCTATGCTAGTACATAGCTATAATTGCCTTTGTCAGTAGAGAATTCTTGTAAAAGTTATTACTCATAATATGCACCTTCATGGAAAATCAGACGATCGTTCTAGGTTTTACATACCTGAAACATATGTCCCCTTGGCAGATGGTGCTCCCCCATGCTCCAGTGGTGGACTGTCACTCGCTGTTATCACATCCAATGCAGGACTACGGATCCAGCTTTGGTCTTGGTGAGGTCGTTTTGACAGCTCAAATTTCCACACGATGCTGTGTGTTGCATAGGGAAGCCCATTCACTTGCCCTATGCACGTTTGTTGCCCGAAAAGAAGGTCTTGCTCTTTTCATGCAACGAGCTTCATGAGGTTTTTAAAAGGCGTGGTTTCCTGCGCGACAATTGTGGCAGAATCACATCGTGTTTGGGCTGCCATTGAAGGATAGTTGCACCCAAACGCACCTTTGAATGCCATGAATGTGCTTCGAATGCCATGCGATTCTGCCTGCGATACCAAATCACGAAATGTGAATGGAGCTCATAACATTTGCATACAGACTATAATTCCACAGTTGCCATACGATGTGCACTACATTTGTTGATTAAAAATACAGTTTCAGTCTTTGCAGATGACACCAAGCTGTGCAGTGGAATAACGTCCTTACAGGATGTCTCCAACTTACAAGCCGACCTCAATGCTCTGTTTAATTGGGTAACTATGTGGCAAATGAGGTTTAATGTTGATAAATGTAAGGTTCTGCATTTGGGGGCTAAGAATATGCATGCATCGTACACACTAGGGGGGTACAACTGGGGGAATCAATGGTGGAGAAGGATCTGGGAGTTCTGGTAGATCGCAAGCTTAACCAGTTCAAGTCCGGGCACTTTTACCCCCTTCCTGTCCAGGCCAATTTTTCAGCTTTCAGTGCTATCACACTTTGAATGACAATTGCGCGGTCATGCAACACTGTACCCATATGAATGAGATGGATGAGATCAGATACAAGGAAAGATTAGAGGAACTGAATTTATTCTCTCTTGAGAAGAGGAGATTAAGGGGGGATATGATCTCCATGTGTAATACATAAGGGGGGGGATATGATCTCCATGTGTAATACATAAGGGGGGGATATGATCTCCATGTAAGATCTCCATAAATACATAAGGGGGGGGATAAGATCTCCATGTATAATACATAAGGGGGGGGGGATAAGATCTCCATGTATAATACATAAGGGGGGGGGGATAAGATCTCCATGTAATACATAAGGGGGGATATCATCGCCATGTATAATACATAAGGGGGGGTATAACATAAGGGGGGGATCTCCATGTATAATACATAAGGGGGGGATATGATCTCCATGTATAATACATAAGGGGGGATATGATCACCATGTATAATACATAAGGGGGGATATGATCACCATGTATAATACATAAGGGGGGATATGATCACCGTG